GACCATTAAAGAGGGTTTCATCCCTCCCTATTCTATCTACCAGACGAGCTGCTGCATTCTGGATGAGCTGCAGAGGTCGGATGGCACATGCAGGTAGACCAGCCAGGAGGGAGTTGCAGTAGTCTAGGCGTGAGATGACGAGAGCTTGGGCCAGAACCTGCGTCACTTCCTGGGTCAGGTGCGGACGTATCCTCCTGATGTTGTAAAGGGTGTATCTGCAGCAGCGGGTTGTAGCAGCGATGTTTGCAGTGAAGGACAGTCTTGGTCCCTGGATGGTGGTTTACTACAGCATCTGTGGAACAGAACAATTACAAATAATTAGAAGTTCACAAAAGGCAGCAGGAATTATAATAATATCCATAATATCTATATTAAAGCATGGGCTGGCTTGGTGAATAATGTGGGAATGCAAATAGTGGAAGAATAGGCTTTGTACATTTTCGTCTGAGTGTGGCGCTACTGGTTGGTATATTTTATGGAATTTGGACCAAGCATCTGCATCTGTAACAGTTCTGTTTAAAACTTTTAAAAATGTAATTGCGTTCATCTTTAAAGGTGGGGTAGGTAAGTTTGAGAAACCGGCTCGAGATACACTTTTTGTTATATTCCATGGAATGCTCTTAACACCCCGATAGCAATGAATATCTTAAGTGCTTTGACAAAAAAATCCATAAAAAAAATTCATCTGTGGAAGCCGTAATACTGTAAAAAGTACGACCAATCATTTTAGCCGGCCCGGCTGAAATGACTGGATGGCCTACCTGCCTGTCAGCCTTCCATCTGTGCACAAACTTATCTCGTGCCCTCATTGGTCATGTGCGCGTTTGTGTGTGTTGGAGGAGGGGCTCTGTAAGGAAGTGGCAGATTTTTTCCGGCTGTGTATTTTCAAATTCTAGTGCACTCAAGCTCGTTTCTCCAAAATGACCTACCCCACCTTTAAAAGACTACTTTTATTGAATGAGAGTTTTACCTAGCACAATGAGCCTGGGGTGGTGGGAAGGGAGAACTGGGCCTCGGCATCGGCAGGAGTTGTAGTCGCCTATGTGTATTAGAATTTAGATGAACAAAGGCATAGAAAAACCCTGAAATATGTACTGACACAAAGCTACGACCCTCGATTTTGTAAGTAGTAGTAGTAAATACATACGTATATACAATATACAACAATACGCATAGTGAAATTAACAGTACCAGTAATAAAATAACTGAATAAATAACTAAGCTGAAAAGTGAATAAAGTGATATGTGAAAAGTAAAATTACAGTGAAATTAAATGACAGTGTGTTCCTCACCACTGCGACCTGGCTCCTCTGTCCTCGTGTCTTTTGGGTCTGATTCCTCACTACTGATGTCTGCCTCTCTGCATGGGCCCTCTCTCCTTATTTATTCTGTCTCAGTCACCACTGCTATCTGGCTCCTCTGTCCTCTTGACTTGTGGTTCTGCAGGCTTAGTTCGACCTATGAATTTCAACAATGCTCCTGTAAAATATATAGATATAGTATTATGGGTCAACATTAAAATAACATACACTGGAGAGCAAAATGTGAAATTCCATTGACTGTAGGCTACATATTATCCACACAATTGTCATCAGGGGCAATAACAACTAAAATGTGAACTAACTTGAATGCATTAGTCCACAACACATAGCCTAACTAATGTTAGCCTACATAGTTACTAACATCAGAACACATAGACTAACTGTGGTTACATTACTTAACTAGCTCATCATCTTCACCAGTCAGAAAATGTCCGTTAGCCGCGAGGCTAGTTTCCGCTATGTTAAACTCCATTGACTTATGCTAAAATGTTAGCGATCTAAAGGTCCGCTCTTTTTGGCTGTTTTGAGTCGACTTCAGTTGACTGTAACATCGAAAATCTTCGAAATTGAATGTTCACAAAGCTGCGGACCGGTTATACACTTATACACGAGGGAACTAACATAGCTAATTTAACTAACGTTAGCTAATGTAGCTGTTGTAGTGCCGAGATACGGGACATACGGATTAAGCAACTAGACTACTTGTAGTGTACATGCAGAATTATTTCAATTTAAAATAGTTTTAAATGCTCACACACATACCTGACTCTCGTGCTGTATTTTCCTCTCGTTTCTTTTTAATTTTCCGTTTCGAAGCACCTGATGAATGCTTTCTCTTTGACGGCGCCATCATCAACAGACAGAGGCGGCAACGCAGATTTGAATCTGCCAATCAGATCAATCTATTGCTGGAGAGGGGGGGGGGCCTCCCCGGAATCTGTGAGATTGATTGGTGATGATCACTGGCAGGTAATGTGTCCAATGAGAATGTTAACACGTTTTAGAGAGTTATGTTTAGCGAAGACGGAGGTCAGCCACTGTCAGCCGGAAGTGGCGCATTCGAATACTGTTTGGGCTGTCTGCCGTGGATGGGCTGCATTCCACTCCAAATAGCCGGTCGGCCGTAACCAGAATCCCAACGCAAGCTGTTTTATGGATTCTCATTTAATTTCCAAGAATATCTCAGTACTGGGTTTTTTCCAATTTCAAAATAAACATATATATTAAACAAACAGAAATAAGAAGTAAGTATATTATAGTATATTCAAGAATGAAAAAATATGTGCATATATATATGCGTGCATATATGCATATATATATGCGTGCATATATGCATATATATATATATATGCATATTTATATATATGTGTATATATATATGCATATTTGTATATATATGCATATATATACATATATATGCGTGCATATATGCATATATATATATGCGTGCATATATGTGTGTGTCTGTATATATTTATAAACTGTATATTATTTTCCATCATTCAATGGACAATGGAGTATTTGTACTTTTTTAATATATACCATCAAACATATGTTCATATATAAAGTGGGTAACTATACAAAACGAAGTGAGATAACTGTTTATGAATATCTGTTCAATTTTATGTAAACACGCGTGTAACTCATGAAAGATAAATTAGTGTTTCAATAAAACTATTACATATAATAATATATATATATTATATGTATAGTGCAGTTTTTGTTTTCATTGCAATATTTTTTTTTATATGTATCAATATATAGCCATACATGGTCCATGCATATATTGCAATATATTAAAAAATATAAGGACTACTTTCCCATATATGGAAATGTATGATCCAGTATATTGTATTATATTTACCAATATATTACAATATATTTTTGTTTCATAAAGGATGGCTGCTGGGACCGGAACTGGAGCCGAAACCATGGCAGCTTGAGTCGGAACTGGAGCCGGGACCATGACTGCGTGGGCCGGAACTGGATCCGGAACTGGAGCCGGAACCATGGCTGCTTGAGCCGGAACTGGAGCCGGAATTGGGGCTGGGGGTTATTATTTATACATAAATATGTGTCCCCGGTGTGTCAGGGAACTCATGCAGCATCAGAAAATAAAACCCTCTCTCTTTTCCTCCATACCCAAATCTCTAAAAACGGGGCTACAACGGAGCTGATCCAGATTTGCGGCCAATATGACGTCATATCGGCGGCGGACCCACAGCACTATCAGAAACGTTGCTATCAGAAACAATGCCCGACTATTTTGGATGTTATATGGTCGGTGTTTACATTAGCATCGCTAACACTCAGAGCTAACCTGTACTGGAGAGAGCATGTGTGTGAAGAAGGAACTCACCTTGTGGTATAACCGGCAAGAGAGAAAGCCTTTGAGCTCCATAGTGTTTCAGAAATAATCCTTGATCTAATAATCCTTGCGTTTCATCACCGCAGCATTTTAGACAGTATCTGCCAGGTCCTGCATGAGCCGGCATAAGCTCCGCCCCCTCTTATTTCAGTATTTAAAAAAGAAGACGTTTATTTTGATTTATACAGGTGAAAATCTCATTGAGACACAGGGTCTCATTCTCAAGAGAGACCTGTTTATACCCAGAATCAGCACTTTTTGAACAGGAAGAGAAATAGAGGGATGTGAGGCATGGCTAGAATGGGTGATCTGTTTGGTTTTTTGACCAAAACACTTCATAGACATGTTTTTTTAACATAAAAATAGCATGATAGGTGACCTTTAAGATATGTTGATCCATGAGGCTCAATATGTCCCGCATAAAGCACCCGGCACACGGTCGGTTACTGGTGTGGTTTTGATGTTCTTTATTTGTTGCGCCGAGACAGTATTCTAGTATAGCTCATAATAATAAAAAAACCTCTCTCCTCCGGTTAAAAGTTACAGCATGTTCCTGCCTTAGTTTGAAGTAATTTTCCACTTCTGACAAATATGCCCTACATTTGTGGTGAGAGACATTCTGTCTGTCTGACAAGTTGTTCTTATAAAGACAGCTGCATGCTGCTGCTGAAACAAGGATGATGAAAAATGGAGATGTAGAATGGTATGAAGATAATGTGAAGTTCCTTTACACCATCTGATGTCACAAGCACGTTCCTAATTTCAGTCAGTGGTGGCCTAAAGGTTGGAGAAGCAAGCGTTTAACTGTGTTATTACCACTGAGGTGGCCCTAAACAAGGCCCTTCACCCCAACCACTCAAACTGTCTAGAATTAAATGTGACTAATACCAGAATAAACATGTAGGCAGACTGCAGTCCGGTGGCTGAATCGATGATAACTGAGATGTGTGATGATTAACATTTGAGTGAAGCTCAACCCCCGACACAGGAGACAGAGAGGGGGGAGCAAAGAACATAGGCGGGCGAAAGAGAACAAAAGACACAATCGAAAGCGAGTGGGAGATGGGGGGGAGCTATTACGATGGAAATAACACAAACAGGAAGTTGGTGTCAACGGCAGAGGAAACCACATCCCTGCACTTAGTAATCACCTTCGTCTCTCCTCCTCCTTCTCTCTGTCTGCCTATCGTCTCCAATGTCTATATTTTCCATTCACGTCCTTCAAGACAACAGATCAAACACAACTTAGATTATTTTACAAAAAATATAAACTTCACAGTATTAAAAAAAATCAAGTACATTTGAGTTACAGTGTAAGTCACTCATATGACATTGAATCAATATCATAGTTTTTATTTCATGGTTTAATTAAAGGATTACTCCAACATTTTGGGAACACTGAGATGATCTTTTTTTGCTGTTCCGTCAGGTACGGAACGTGTTCAGTCAATATTACCACAAGGACTGCAAATCTTTTTTTTTCAAATACACCTTCTAAAAACTAAAGAGCAAGCTGATGTTGTACTTTGTATGCGAAAAAGCTAATCACCATTCAAGTCACCTGGCTCTGCGGCCCCTGACGCCTTTAGCTTTAGCTCAAAGGCTAACTGCTAAGTGGCTTTCCAAAATGTTGCATGGTTCTGTGAACATTTCATATCTTAATATAACCTCTGACAGGTGGACATAACTTAAAGTGGTTCTTTTCAGATTCATTTGTAACAAGGGTAACTAAATTAAGTTTAGATACAGTCCAGACAGTAATGGTCATTCTCTGTCAAAGCGTCTTTGAGTTTCCTGAAAAGCGCTATACAAGTCTCATGTATTATTATTATTATTATTATTATTATATAAACATATGTTTAGCCCACATGTAGGGGCATGCAAAGGATGATGATGATGATGAGGATGAGGATGAGGATGATGTGATGATGATGATGATGTGATGATAATGATGATGATGGTGATGATGATGTGATGGTGATGATAATGATGATGATGGTGATGATAATGATGAGGATTGTGCTGATGGTGGTGATGGTGATGATAATGATATCAGAAGTTGAAGTCACTGTTCCTGTTAGATGAGGGCTCTCTGCTGTCACTGACTGCCAGGCGCTCCAGAGCTGACACACAGAAAGCGATTCAGAGTCTTAGAGTGCCTGACTGCCAGAGCAGGAGTGAGCCAAATGTATGAGCGATGGTTAGGTTAACATTATACTGAAGATGTGTGTGTCTGTGTGTGTTACCAGGGTAGGAAAGTCTCTTCTCTCCTTCATTGATTTTAACTGCAGTCTTTCCTCGATAGGCCACTGAAAGAGAGCATCAGACAGATGAGAGACAAATACTTTCTATAACGTTCGTTTGTGAACAAATATCATATACAGACCCAAAGCAACAATCTCTGTCCATCCCTCAACACGCTCCCATCAGGCTTAAGATTCACACACAATCCAATAATGATGGACGGACACTTATCCTTTAACACTTTGTGTGTGTGTGTGTGTGTGGGTGTTTGTGTTTGATTTACCACTGTGACTCTGCGTAGGTCCGATCCAGCGGTTCTGCCTCCTTTCAGATACTAAGAACCAAAAACATAGCAACCTGAACACTAAACCCACATTTACATACTGCAGATCATTTCTAGAATTTAATCAGATCAGATTTAAAACAACTGCCTTTCTTTGACAACATCTTTAATCTGACAAATCCTAATCCGAAAATATCAAACTTTCTTGTGTGTGTGTGTGTGTGTGTGTGTGTGTGTGTGTGTGTGTGTGTGTGTGTGTGTGTGTGTGTGTGTGTGTGTGTGTGTGTGTGTGTGCACTCACGTCTGTTCTGCAGGGCTCTGACGGTGGGTCTGGTGAAGCGGATCAGGACCAGGACCAGCAGCAGGCAGCAGAGCACAGCTGTCCCCCCTCTGTAGGCCTGCAGCTGCCCCTGCACATCTGGGAGGACTTCAACTGGACACACACAGGAGACACACACACATGTGGCTGTTGCATGCTGTAGTTTCCACCTACAGTCCCCGCCATCTCCTCTGGCCCCTCCTTGCCCCTACTGGCTCCCAGGAGAGGCTGCCACTGTGCTCCCCAGGATCGAGAGCAAAGAGACCCTCTGCCTGGTGCACATGTCTTTCATGGTGTTTGTAGTACAATGGTGACTTAATTTGCACATTCTTTCCATATATATATACAGTGGAGGAAATAAGTATTTGATCCCCTGCAGATTTTGTAAGTTTACCCATTTACAAAGAAATTACCATTAGTCATTTTAATGGTAGGTTTATATAAACAGTGAGAGTAAGAATATCAAAAAGAGACTCTGTGTAGTTCTGGCTGATCCCAGACCTTTCTCATGATCATCAATACCCCACGGGGCCAGATCTTGTGTGGAGCCCCAGACCGAGGGCGACTGATACTCATTTTGTGTTTCTTCCATTTCTGAATAATGGCACCAACAGTGGTCTCCTTCTCCCCAAGCTGCTTTCTGATGGTCTTGTAGCCAATCCCAGCCTGGTGCAGGTCTACAATCTGGTCCCTGAGGTCCTCAGAGAGCTCTTAATGGCGCGTCTCCACTACAGCGCGGAGCACGGTTTAAGAGAGCTGTGACGTCAGCGGCCCGTTTTTGGTTGCGTTTCCACTTGGCCTAGTACCGGCTGGCGGGTCCTAATTCACAGTTTTACTGGCCTCATAAAATCGTGGGTCTAGGGCCAGAGACAACCAGGCTGAGTCGGGCTGAGTATGCTAAACTAGAGAGAGAATCGCTGGCAAGGGGGCTACAACTACAACAAGATGGACATATTTGACCGTGATTTAATTGTAATACACGTTTCAAAATGATGCCGAAGTAACAACATACTGATACCGGTTAGTAAAAACCATGAATTAATGCTTTGTCAAGTCTGCAGACAGACGGCAGGGGAAAAACCTTTTAAAATGCGTGTTTTCTAAATGGAGATTGGCTAAGCTAACGTTGTATATGCTCTGACCGTCCACACTCACAACAACGGCCTATACAGACATAAATAAAGCAGCGACTGTACTCGCCATGACACAGGCAGTCTGTGGTTTGTACTTGTTTAGGGCGGTGGTGGCGAAGTCCATAGGGACTTGGCTTGGCAACTGGAAGGTCACCAGTTCAAGTCCCAGAAAGACCAAGTGCTACCGAGGTGTCCCTGAGCAAGGCACCATTCCCTACACTGCTCCCCGGGCGCCGGACATGATGGCAGCCCACTGCTCCTAACACTAGGATGGGTCAAATGCAGAGAAACCCTTTCGTTACATAGTGCCTGTACTACGTAATGACAATAAGTTGAATCTTCTTCTTCTTCTTCTTGTTTAACTTTTGTCTAGTTTCTGAACATATATGAGGAGCTGTGAGCTCTGAGTGCTAACAGCTAACGGCTGTGTTGTTTTTCTGGGGTTCTCATTGAAGATGACGTCACGGCTCCGCCTACACTGCGTTACTATAGATACTACCCCAGTTCCTAAACTGTAATGGAAATGCGCCATAAAGTGAGCCAGTCCTAACGAGGCCTAGCCATACCGAGCGAGGCCGTGTAGTGGAAATGCGCCATTAGTCTGGCCCATGGTGGAGAGGTTGGAATCTGAGTGATTGATTCTGTGGACAGGTGTCTTTTATACAGGTAACAAGTTGATGTTAGGAGTACACATTTTTTCCATGCACCGAGGAGAGGATGTACGGGGACATGTAACGTAACATCTTGGCCGATAGCCTCCTTCCCTCAGCCAGGACACTGAACATGGGTCATGGAGGGGTCTTCCAGCAGGACAATGACCCTGAACATACGGCCAAGGCAACACAGGAGGGGCTAAAGAAGAAGCACATTTAGGTGAGGGAGGGGCCTAGCCAGTCTCCGGACCTTAAACCCAGAGAAAATCTGTGGAGGGAGCTGAAGCTTCCAGAGGCCAAGCATCAGCCTCAAAACCTGAAGGGTTTGGAGAGGGTCTTCAGAGAGGAATGGACCAACATCCTTCCTGAGATGTGCACAGACCTGGAGACCAGCTACAAGAAGCGTCTGACCTCTGTGTGTCCAACAAGGGTTTCTCCACCAAGTACTAACACATGCAAGGGGATCAAATACTTATTTCCCAGTTAAATGCAAATACATTTGTATCTTTCATATAATGTACATTTCTGGATTTTCTTTTTGATATTCTTACTCTCACTTTGTATATAAACCTACCATCACAATTACAGACTGTTCATTTCTTTGTAAGTGGGAAAACTTACAAAATCTGCAGGGGATCAAATACTTGTTTCCTCCACTGTATATATATATATATATATATATATATATATATATATATAATAATAATAATAATAATAATAAGAAGAAGAAGAAGAAGAAGAAGAAGAAGAAGAAGAAGAAGAAGAAGAAGAAGAAGAAGAAGAAGAAGAAGAAGAAGAAGAAGAAGAAGAAGAATACAACATGCTCTTTCTCGTCTCTCTACAAAGAGGGCACACTGCAGACAGACCACTGACTTGTTTATGGTTCCGCAAACATATTCATTCTGTACAAAAATAGTAAATCAGACAAGATGATCCGATCAGTTTCAAGGATGGGAGGGAAGGCGTTTCACACATGTAACACTGAATCCCTTTGACAGAACAAAAGTCGCTCTTTTTTCTTCACCCGCAATTCAACTGGGCCAAAACCTCTTTTTCAATCAACAGACAGGGTCACAGACTGATGAAAACACTAAATAAGGCAGTTCAGAGTTCAAAGTGAGTGTGCAGTTTGTCTGCCTCATGATGATGGCTGCAACAGACCTGCTACCTCTGCTCAGCTGGTTTAGATAGATAAGATCCAGATGTTCGGTTAAAACTGGATAAAAAGTTCTTAATAAGTCATAATATCATTACAGAGAAGGTTTGTATTTTGGAACATGTTGGTTGCTATCTGATCTGATATCACACAACACACAGAATGAGTGGTGGTCCGTCAGAAGGCTGGACACAGCTGTGGACAACACTGTGATCCTCATTCTTCACATGCTGCCAATCACCGTCAGTCATCTCAAAATGACATGATGTTTAGTGACTATTATTATGTATATTTTTTCTTGGTGTGGACTGTGTTTTAGTAAGAATCACACTCCTGTTTCATCTCTGCTTATATTGCAGGCTTTCTATAAAGTGGCATTTGTGTTAAGGGTTAAAAAATGGTCTGGTACTGAAAGTAGCATTGATTGCCTGAACATTTAATAAGAATGTTTCTGATTGAAATCCAAATGTTCCCATATGTAACATACATATATTATAAGTCATTCAGTTTTTATTTGGCTATTATGGTTAACACACAAATACACATGGAGACATTAGAGACTGTTTAATGTTCTATAAATTCGAAATGTGTTTTATGAAATAACTTTATTTCCCCTAACTTCTGATATTGAAAGAAGCGTGGAAATCAAAGGTGTACCGATACCACATTTCAATAGTGGTATGGTTTTAATCACCTGCATGTGAAGATAACACTTCTGCTAAAGGCTGCCGAGTCTACCATGTCAAACCATGAGAGGGCATGACAACACTTTAGCTCACACGCACGCACGCACGCACACACACACACACACAGCAGACCAACCTGGGCAGCGGACCCTGAGGGTCTCACAGCTGATCTCCTCTGCTCCATTCTCAGTGATGTTATGACCTTGCTGCTCCTCTCCTTTGACCCAGCTCATTGAGTTTTTACATCCTCGCTGGTTCTTACACACACTTCTCAAAATATTCAGGATGTTTTTTTCACTTCCATGACAGACAGGAGAGGAGGAGTTGACGGGGTGGTAGAATATCAGCTGGACGTCTCCTTCACATTGACTCCTCCATGTGATGGACAGGAGGCCTGTGGGAGGGGCAGGGCTGCTGGGGATGGGGGGGCAGGAACAGCCCCTGGTGCTGCTGTAAGTATGGGGGGGCTCTGTGATGTTTGGCCCAGGTGTTGATTGGTTGGATTCTGGGAGAAGAAGATCAGTTAGTATGGAGAAGGCATAAGTCAAACTGTTCCTAGGGTCCCTGCGGAGCTGAAGCGTGTGCCTTGCTCAGCGGCCTGCGGGGAGACTGGGTCTGCCTCTCAGGCAACATACTAGCATCTGGATGGAGGGGGGGCATCCTGAATAAAGAAATGCTAGACAAGCACAGTGCTCTGAAGATGAGAAAACACAATTATTTACATGTGTGTGTGTGTGTGTGGGTATACACTTGTATTGATTACAATTATAATGTTGAATTACAATTCTGTTAAGGATCTTTCTATCAGCAGTGCCATATTGATCCACTTCATATATGAAATGATGGTTAGGTAATCCCAACATGTTTTATTTATTCAAGCTGTCATGCTTGAAATATTTACATTTTGCATTTCATTATTTAAGAATCAGCCTGATAAATACAAAAACATGTATTATAAATATATGACATAAAAATACAATTTAGTCATGAGCCATCCTGTTCATGATGTCATGACATTCACAAGAACATATTTACAAAAAGGTGTGTGTGTGTGTGTGTGTGTGTGTGTGTGTGTGTGTGTGTGTGTGTGTGTGTGTGTGTGTGTGTGTGTGTGTGTGTGTGTCTGTGGCTTTGGGAGGGGCTCCTGCAAACAGTACTGAAACTGTCTGCAGATGTGTGATGCAATGATTTGAAAAAGCTAAATATTTTTTCAGCCTGCGTGGGCCACATTTTTTTTAAATAAATCCTGATGTATGTACTGTATGAATATGTGACACTTCATTAGTACGGGTGACAATAATATATTAATTATTAGTAAGTTATTTATAACAATACATTTTCATATAAATATCAGCATAATGTATTATATATAATTCATTATATATTGTTTAATAGATAATTGAAATTCCTTACTCTTAGAAAAAATGGTTTGTAACTTTTTCTTCTTATGGTTATGTATTTTAGTTTTATATTCTATGTTCAGTTATTTTTTATTCTTTGTATGAAAATATTAAATGAAAATGAATAAATGTGTACCTGATGCAGCTAAATGGAATTCAGCTATTGTTCATCTGATTATTGAAACCTGTGTTTTTATAGTGTTATTTTTTTTATTTTAAATTTTATATATATTGTTTTTATTAAATTACTTAAAACACGTTTAACTAGATTTAAAAAACAAATATAAAATCAAGAAACGGTTTCTCCACGTTAATTTGTCCAATCATGTCTGTGTCCAATAACATTGTAATACCAGGTTGAGATATTTTGATGTGCGATAATAAATGTATCACAGTGATCACATCCTGTAGAAACCTATGGAATGCCATTCAAGCCAAAATTAAATAAATACATAAATAATTAAATAAATACATATATATATAAATATGCTTATGAAATAAATTCTGAAATAAATCAATGAGCCAATAAATATGTATACATGTACATTTAAATACACATTTATTTATTTCATGGGACTTGTATTTCATAATGACACATTTATTTATTTCAGGGGACTTGTATTTCATAATGACACATTCATTTATTTCAGGGGACTTGTATTTCATAATGACACATTTCCATTTCTTATATGCAAATGAACGGGGCGTGGTTAGCTCACAGATCCAGACCAAAGCAACAGCACCGCAACACTGACTCAATAGCTCTTGTTTCACACTCCAGTACTCTTAAGTGGTTTGCAAACTGCCAATAAACCAAACCGGTTCCGGTTCAAGAACCGTCCTTGTGCTTTTCTGTTGCTTCACTGGTTCTTCTCTGATTCTGCCCCTTTTCCACCAAACCGGTTCCAGAGCCAGTTCCGGACTACAGCCTGATTTAGCTCTGGTTCTTCCTGTTTCAGCCACAGCGGAGCCGGCTCTAAACACCGAACACCGGTTCTTAGCTGACCCCACTTGGCTGCCCGGCAAGAACCAAGAACCACGCTCACGTCGGAAGGGGGCGAGATTAACCTGAGCCATAATAACACCTTATGGCGAGTACGGAAAATGAAAGTTGTAACAAGCAGTAGCGCTGAGCAAAGTGACTAGAAGGCAACCACACACTTATAAAAAAACACACTTTATAAAGTCAGGCAACACTAACCAGGCTTCGTGTGATTCTGTTTATTTGTACCTTACTTTGACCATCCGTTCTCTGTTATTGATCATTGTGGAGAGCAGGCAGACGTTTTGTTTGTTATTATAGCAGCTATCGGATGGAATCAATACATGGGCTGCACAGGTTGTCATGTCCGACTATCACAAGTAGAATCATAATGAAAAGGTAAAATGTGCCTGTAGAAAACGGCTTATGCCACAATAGGATAGCAACAAGTAGTCAAGATAGTCAGTTTAGCTTCGGTTGCTGTTGCATAACTGCGGTCAACTCAGCCGTCTCTCGCGTTCGCTTGGTCAAATCAGCAGCTATTCATTTTTGAGTGCGCAATTAATAGCGCCTTTACGGTAATCGCTGTACAAGAGTAAAATAATGCATGTTTTTTTTCTGCTTTATTTGCAATACAAGTCATTTGTACCATAAGTTCTTAATAAAACTGACACTGTTTGACTCAGTCCTAGTTTGACTGCTACAATCAAATGAAGTAGGCTACTTTTACTGTGTACTTTTTGGGTAATACTCTCTCAAAGTCCCTGAGAACAAACTCATGCCACTTCTGCTATATTTGATGAGATAAAATGATTTTTATCCATAAGTTCTTAATAAAATTGTTACTGTTGGACTCAGTACTTGTTAGACTACTGCCACAAATACAATGAAGTACTTTTATTGTGTACTTGTTGAGTAATACTCTGTCAAACTCCCTTCCAGAGTACAATAATGCATGTTTTTAGCTATCTTTGATGAGAGATCAAATGATATTTTGCCATAAGTTCTTAATACAATTGGGACTGTTGGACTCAGTACTACTTGGACTACTCCCACAAGTACAATAAAGTATTTTTACTGTGTACTTCTTGAGTAATCCTTTGTCAAACTCCCCTCCTGAGTACAATCATGCATGTATTCTGCTATTTGATGAGGGATAAAATGATTTTTTGCAACAAGTTCTACATGAAATTGATACTGTTGGAGTCAGTACTACTTGGACTACTCCCACAAGTACAATCAAGTGTTTGAGTAATCCCCTGTCAAACTCCCCTCCTGAGTAGAATAATGCATGTTTTCTGCTATATTTAATAAGCGTTAAAAGCGTTCACAATACTGGGAGGCTGTGGCTCAGTGGATAGTGTGCTGGACTACGAACAGGGGAGGACACTTCACCCCAAATTGCTCCTGTGGGGATTGTCCACAGTACTGAATGTATGTAAGTCGCTTTGGATAAAAGTGTCTAACAAATGACATGGAATGTAATGTAATGTAATGTACAGATAATGTTAGACAGAGTATTTTAAGAGGACAAGGTAGACAGATGACATCAACACTAGATCCACTAGATCACTACTCCAGCAGCAGCATTGTTACCCCTTGGAAAGTCTTTAGAGACTATCCTGGATAGCTGTTCACAACCTTCCTTCAGCACAGTGACACACCCCTGTCACTCTTGTTGGCCTCTTATGATGCTGCTAAAGTCCTTCTGCTGCACCTTTTTAAGACTCCAATACAGGCATTTGTATATGTTTGGAAAAATTACACAATAAATGGCCCAGATGTGTACACATCGAAATCTTGTAGTGCAGGAAGAAATACACACTGGCTAAGCCTGCAGGTGATATAGGCTTTGTTTTGCAATATTTATTCAAAGGTCACTACTTATTTAAATAAATATCTGAAATATAGATATTATCTCTTATCAAAGATAGCAGAATACATGAAAGAATGTACTCAGGACAGGAGTTTGACCTAGTATTACTCAAAAGGTACACAGTAAAAGTACTTGATTGTACTTGTGGGAGTAGTCCAAGTAGTACTGAGTCCAACAGTACCAATTTAACTAAGAACTTTTGGAAAAATATCATTTTGTCTCTTATCAAAGATAGCTAAAAACATGCATTATTGTACTCTGGAAGGGAGTTTGACAGAGTATTACTCAAAAAGTACACAATAAAAGTACTTCATTGTATTTGTGGTAGTAGTCTAACAAGTACTGAGTCCAACAGTACCAATTTTATTAAGAACTTATGGATAAAAATCATTTTATCTCATCAAATATAGCAGAAGTGGCATGAGTTTGTTCTCAGGGACTTTGAGAGAGTATTACCCAAAAAGTACACAGTAAAAGTAGCCTACTTCATTTGATTGTAGCAGTCAAACTAGGACTGAGTCAAACAGTGTCAGTTTTATTAAGAACTTATGGTACAAATGACTTGTATTGCAAATAAAGCAGAAAAAAACATGCATTATTTTACTCTTGTACAGCGATTACCGTAAAGGCGCTATTAATTGCGCACTCAAAAATGAATAGCTGCTGATTTGACCAAGCGAACGCGAGAGACGGCTGAGTTGACCGCAGTTATGCAACAGCAACCAAAGCTAAACTGACTATCTTGACTACTTGTTGCTATCCTATTGTGGCATAAGCCGTTTTCTACAGGCACATTTTACCTTTTCATTATGATTCTACTTGTGATAGTCGGACATGACAACCTGTGCAGCCCATGTATTGATTCCATCTGATAGCTGCTATAATAACAAACAAAACGTCTGCCTGCTCTCCACAATGATCAATAACAGAGAACGGATGGTCAAAGTAAGGTACAAATAAACAGAATCACACGAAGCCTGGTTAGTGTTGCCTGACTTTATAAATTGTGTTATTTTTTTATAAGTGTGTGGTTGCGTTCTAGTCACTTTGCTCAGCGCTACTGCTTGTTACAACTTTCATTTTCCGTACTCGCCATAAGGTGTTATTATGGCTCAGGTTAATCTCGCCCCCTTCCGACGTGAGCGTGGTTCTTGGTTCTTGCCGGGCAGCCAAGTGGGGTCAGCTAAGAACCGGTGTTCGGTGTTTAGAGCCGGCTCCGCTGTGGCTGAAACAGGAAGAACCAGAGCTAAATCAGGCTGTAGCCCGGAACTGGCTCTGGAACCGGTTTGGTGGAAAAGGGGCAGAATCAGAGAAGAACCAGTGAAGCAACAGAAAAGCACAAGGACGGTTCTTGAACCGGAACCGGTTTGGTTTATTGGCAGTTTGCAAACCACTTAAGAGTACTGGAGTGTGAAACAAGAGCTATTGAGTCAGTGTTGTGGTGCTGTTGCATAATGTGTCATTATGAAATACAAGTCCCCTGAAATAAATAAATGTGTCATTATGAAATACAAGTCTCTTGAAATAAATAAATGTGTCATTATGAAATAAAAGTCTCTTGAAATAAATAAATGTGTCATTATGAAATACAAGTCTCTTGAAATAAATAAATGTGTCATTATGAAATACAAGTCTCTTGAAATAAATAAATAAATGTGTCATTATGAAATAAAAGTCTCATGAAATAAATAAATGTGTATTTAAATGTACATGTATACATATGTATTGCCTCATTTATTTATTTCATAGGCATATTTATTTGTATATGTATTTATTTAATTATTTATGTATTTATTTATTTATTTAATTTTGGCTTGGATGGCATTCCATAGGAACCTGCCAGGGTTTGGGTTGCAATTTACGGTGAAAAATCAACGTTCAAAACTTTCTAGGAAGTGAATTCTAATGCTCAAGATTTAAAAACATAGTCATTCAACATTCAACATGTAATATTTAAGTTGCATTACTAATGATAGAGTTACTTTATTGTAAACCATGTTAGTGCAATGTTATGTGATAATTCTGTGTTTTTTTTTTAACGCTGTCACACTGAGTCATTATGATGATGAAATATGATTGAGATGGGACGGTTTGAATATGATAAGAGAGGCACGAGTTTGTGTAAAGTTACCATGGTGACAGTCATTTTCTCCTCTGTCTCTGTCTGTCGGCCGTTTATTATTGTCATCTCACTTAAATTTGGGCTTTCACACATGATTGAGTGCACTAGAAAATACATAAAACAAAGAACAATTCATGCTCTCAATATTTGTTTACATTTTAATGGGTTGATTTGGGAGAGAGAAAACCAAGTTGTAACAAAGAACTGAGAACAGAGAAATTGAGTTTTTTTTACTATATTATACAAGTTTCCCACACTAAAGCACGGACAGAGCTGCTGTCACAGAGAGCCGCAGAGACTCCCCTCTGTATGATGTGCACTAACATATGCTCGTATGGCAGGATTCATACTGCAGCACTATCTGTTCCGACAGTGGTGACCCTCTCTGCTACCTCACATCCTGTGTAACGTCAAGAAACTGGAGCATGATTTGAAGAAATGCCTTTCCTTCATTTTCACCACACCTAAAGAGCGAGTGCAGAACATTGGTCATGGATCAGGTGTTCTGTTACAGCGAAGGTTTTAACTGATGTCCACTGCTCTCCAGTCAGTGAGGACATGTAGCTTGATGCAGTTCCTCGACTTTCTTTGCTCTTTCACTGCCAAGCAATTCATGGTAAACATCGGCACGAAATTATGGGAGGACGATGGGGTCAAACTTGGTAATTTGATTCTTTTTTTTTTTATGTTAAAGTGTCCAGATTCATTTTGAGCGTTAACGTGTTAACGGTGACAGCCCTAACACACACACATAAATGGAATGCAGCCATGCGTAATGTCATCAGTTCACCTGGTGAATGACAAGTTCAAAAGTCTGCTGTGGGGAAGGGCTCCTAAGTGTAGAACCATATGAGTTGAATGCTTGAAGACAAGGCTCTGACTGAGGTTTCCCTGAGAGGACTCTGACTTTGAAATGAATTCAACAACAAGAGACAGAACGCCAGGACAACGAAAACATTCACCCCGTCTGTACAATTAACACATGCAACTTTGTAGTTTAAAATAATTTAGAAATACTATGGTGCTAATAGCATATAGTGTACGCTAACATTTTAAGCAAAAAGCAGATCAAATCTTTAGCTCTACTTATGTTAAAATCATGTTTAATATACAGTATTTTCAAACAAATCTGTTGTTGTGGATATAAAATGTATTTAGCCTTGATTTAGCTAATGGGATCACATTATTTTACAAAGCAATAGTTTGCGTGTACGGTGAACTGTTGCTAAATCTACTCTACTGAGTGCCACAGTAAGTGAATCAGACTTATATTATATTTAGCTGTAGGCCACCTCCACCAGACCATGTTGATTTCACAATCACATGGTCAGTAGAACTACAGTAGGAGCCCCAGATAAGACAACATTTGACCATTTAACCAACAGGAAAGTCAACTGTAGCTGTTTGTTACCTGGCCATTTATCAGGCGACACTATTAATGGTGATGCTGTGTTTGGACATTATGACTATCTGGGAGACAATTTGTTCCACAATGGTCACAGGTTTTCACATGCTTTTTCTCATGTCTTGGATGAATCAAATATGAGATATAATGTTTTCTCACATATTTTTTGTTTTCGATTGTAACCTAACGCTGTTAGTAACAAGTATATAACAAAAGATATAACAAGTTTTACACTTCTTATATATTGTATGAGTTTTCAGTTCAGGCCTGCCTGGTAGTGTCTAATCATCTCAATGGATTAAGGCTAACACTCCACTTTTCTGTACTCCATATGTCTCAATAATAATGTGCACTTACCAGCAGTCATGAGTAAAAGAGTTGAGATGGTCACAACAGTCCTGATATCCATAACAGAGCTCCTATGAACAACAAGTAAAGGTGGAAGACAGACAGGCAGACAGACAGGCAGGAGGAGAACCAACAACACAAATCAGATCAAGACGCCAGCAACAGAAAGACAGATGAGAAAGGAAGCAGCGCTCTCTCTCCGTACCGTGAATCACTTCATCTCTCCTGCTGCTGCAGACTTGCACATTTCCTCTGTTCAAAGGGAGCATGCAGCAGAGACGTAGAGGGGGGTGGGGGAAAGAGAACTGATGATAAGAAGGGAGGATAGAAGAACAGGTATGACGAAGAGCGAAATGGAAGAGTTACGTGACTCTGAACTAGATCTACTTTTTTTGTCACCAAACCCTCTTTAAGGGACACAGGCTGTGAGCTGAACTGTACGATGGAATCAAAACCTGTATGTGTGATACAGCCAACCAAATAATCATCATGTGTATCACTGCAAATACTTACCATACCAAAGCCCATCCTAAGATTGTTTACTCACTACATGTGTAGAAACACCACCTTGAGTGCTAATGGTCCTAATATTATATATTATATCCCTTATATTTTGTCCAGCTTAACTATTCCCAAAATGTATTTTTACTTGCAATAGTTTGATTAAAGGTTTGTATTGGTTAAATACTGTTTACCCAATTAAAAGGGAATATTATGGTTACATTATAAGGTTAATGTTTAGGATACATTTCAAAATGAACATTATCAAAAGAATGTGATAGTGGCTCAGTTTTATTGATATTTCAAATGAAATTCCTGCAGACATTTTACCCTTCTCCTGTGACTTTGTTGTAGATCGTTTTAACAGTAAACTACCATTGACAACAACAACCATTGAGACAGCTGAAACATTTCTTGTGACCTGACACCACCTGGAAATAAATGAAATTAAAAAAAGAAACTAACAATTATGTTTGAAAAGCAAAAAGAGACTGAGAAAGAATAAATGATTGAACAACTGAAAATGTAATATAAGGCCATCAAACTTACAAGTCACTCATAACTTAAAAACGGAACCATCCGAAAATAAATGTTCTCAACCAAAGATCACTTTAACCCTGCTCTTACAAAATCTATACTATGTTTTCCAATTCCAAGTGTGAATAATTTACAGAACACTCACATCAAAAATATAAGAACAAATGTTTTTAAGGTGAATTTAAAATGAAGGGTTATTTCCCAATTTCTTAACATCGTCAACCCCTTGCTTTTTTCCAGCTGCCTTAGAGACAGCCTGGTGAAACTACAGAGCAGCATCCAGTCTGCCATTTTTCACAATCAGAATACCTTTATTCGTCCTGTAGAGGGTACATTTACATAGTTACAGCAAAAGTGAAGACAGAGACACAATAATTAACACTATTAGAAAGGACATGAACATAATATTTGAAATGTAATAACATGTAGAAAAGATGTTTTTAATAAGTTGATTGATTTTTATAGATTTTGGTTTTTGATTTTATTCATTCTCACAGTATTTTGAAGTATACCAATCCGTCTCCAATTTTGCTATTTATTTAAGATTGTAAATGACATCAGATGTAGACTCTCTGTTCTATTCTGTTGTACTAAGTGCTGCTTTTGATTTTGAATAACAATCTTATTGGCATTTGTGGTATTGGCTTAAATCGTACTTTACTGTTTTTTGTTTACATGGATGAATGGTCCTTTAGGATGAATTGTGGTGTTACCCAAGGCTCAATGTTAGGTCCTACACTTTTTTAATCTGTATATGCTTCTATCTTGAGACACGGCATAAGTTTCCATACTGTAGTCCTACATTGCCCTGTTTCCTGATGACTCTGAAACAATTGATGCCCTTTTAAAATGCATTTTAAATATAAAATAAGTTATGGAAGGCTGAGAATATTCTTCAGCCAAAACAGGACAAAACCAAACTTTGGATGATTGGTTCTGGAAACTGAAACTGCAATAAAAACCATGTAAACTAGTTGAGAACATACATTTACATTTGATTCAGAACAGAACCACAAGAGACTGTGTCTCTCTCAAGTCAGCGCAGAAAAAGTAATGCATGCTTGAATTACCTGTATGATGTTTTTTTGTAATGCTCAACTTCTGTGGCCTCCCGCACAAGAATATATTGAAACTGAAACAAAGCATCTTATCTGAAGAACAAGCTGGCTTTAGAACGTAGCACGTTTCAACAAATCACAATCGTGAGAATCTTGAGCGAGAAATACAGCGACCATCAGATGGAAAAACACCACAACTACTCTGAGTGATACAGGGTGTGGAGAGACACTCGGTTGATGTGAATTAATAAGCACAAAATTGGCACAAATGTTGTCAAAATAATGAGGGGTTAAATAAAAAGACAACAGTAACTTACGCAGGTGCATCTCAGACCTGGTAATGAGGAGAAAATCGGCCTTTATTACAGCAAATGCAGCGTTGCTCCTACTGGGGGACAACAATTAACATGCCCCAATGTTATTAAGCCTAGAGCCCCCCCATACAATAAGTCTGGCTAATATTTAAAAAAAACTCTGAAGGCCTTTATCTAATTTCGGGTTAAGTTACAGTCATCATGTTATATGGAGTATTTAGCCTAACATTTTGAGGACAAAAACCGAACAAGCATCATTGGAATTGGCCTCTTAATCATCTCCTCACCCTGACAGTGTGTGCGACTCAAAGTGTTTCGGGGGTGTGACTGATTTGATAGAGCGAGTCACTTATATAATTCATACATTTCACACTGCTCACGCCCCCACAACAGGTCAAAAAAAGTAACCTAATGAAATGAATGTCTCATTCTGATAACATGAGCCCTTTGAGCTGCCGCTCCCCTGCAAGGGAAACATCTTCTCTGAATCATCCGAGCTCTGCTTCTTTACCTTCTGTCACTCTCCTTTTCTTTCATCCTCCACCTCTGGGTTACGGAGTCGTACACTTCGCCTTCCCCCCCCCCCCCCCCCCCCTTCAACCTCAGAGCAGTATCCAGTTCTCTCACACCCGTTGAATAAATTGTAGGTATCAAAGTCCTCCTCTTTTTTCCTCTGATCATTTTGTCGTAATTTTTCCGAGTTCGAATTTACCCGTACATCTCAGTTTGGCTTTGGTGGTCTAGTCTTCATAAAAAAGGCCTTTTGTTGGCCCTGTGTTTACTGCCAGGATGTCGTGGTTTTGAGCTATATCAGGACTGTGTCATGCAGCAGTCAGAACAAGATAAAGTGTTTTGTTTAAGTTTATGTTTCATTATAGTTTTCATTCGGTTTTATTAAACTCAATTACAATGTAATTATCACAGCTATATTAAATTCTATTCTTAGTTTAAATTAAGAAAATAATGCTGGTATGCGTGCACAATATGAAAGAGGGGTAAAGCTCTGCAGATTGCACACAGTATTTATTCATCATACACATTTACTGAGGACTAGTGGTGGAAAAAGTACTCAGATCTTTTAAGTAAGTAGTATTATATGGCGTTATTTTTGTGCCACTACCCTGAGCACTCAATGAAACATTTTGAGCAGAGAACATTTTATTGAGCGCGCAATTGAAAATCTTTGAGCACAGAAAGCACATTAATTATATTTTGAAGAGATATTGACTCTTGCCCTCTCACAAACTCCTGCTCTGTGCGCAAGCAGACTGCTGCACGCGCTCTCTCTCCCTCTCTCTCCCTCGCTCAACCTCTCCACCCTGTGTGCGCTCAAGTTTGCCTGCGTGCTCGCTCAAGTTGGCACAGCGTTACAAATGTGCCACAAAACCAACCAATCGGAGAACTCCAGAAGGTCAATTCTGATTCTGTTTCGTCTCCAATCATATCTTCTATCTGATATACGGAAAGAGAGGGATTTCCGGTTGCCATCAGACTGTTGACGTTCTTATTACACATCCGTAGCCTAATTTTAGCGCTAGTTTCATGTCGAATTGTTGGAATTTTAACTGAAAGTATGATCGTGTTAACCTGTTAAGCCCCATGATGAAAGTGATCCTGACACGTTTTTTTTGTTATTTGAACGTGTAGCTAGGGCTAGAGAGTGGCCTGATGCGGACTGCGCTTTGATGCTTCAGTGTGTTCTCACAGGAAGAGCGCAGTCTGCATATTCCTCTTTATGTCTGGAAGATAGCTCTAGCTATAGTAAAATAAAATCGGCGGTGCTTAGAGCATATGAACTGGTGCCAGAGGCCTATCGACAGCGAAAACAAGATCAAACATATGTGGAGATGGCGAGGGATTTGTCTGTTCATTTTAAGCGTTGGTTAACTGCTCTTGAAATCGATTCTTTTGACGATTTGTGTGAACTCATGATTTTGGAACAGTTCAAAAATATTCTTCCTGACAAGATTGCTACCTACATAACAGAGCACAAGTTAACTTCCGCGGCTGGAGCTGCTGTGGCAGCTGATGAGTTTGTGTTGCTTCATAAGAGCAGGTTCGGAGGGCGCTCTGGGGCACTAACTGTTTGTGAAGGAAATAGAAGGGATGTTGGGATGGATCCAAGGAAATTTAGTTTGGTAAAATCTGATGTGGATAAAAAAACGACACTTGCAACTACTGTCGGGAAAAGGGCCATTGGAAGGAAGACTGTCCTGTGCTCAGGGTCAAATCCAAGGGAGGAGGTTTTTTCGTTAAACCGGTTGCATTGGCTGCTCCTGTGAAAAGCTGCTGTGTTACCGATGTGCTTACAGCCCACTTATGTGGATCAGATGTTTTGGCATCGTATGCCCCTTTTATAAGAGACGGCTCGGTGTCATTGGTAGGTAGTGATGTCAGAGTTCCAGTTAAAATCTTGAGGGACACAGGGGCATTTGACTCCTTTATTGTTGATTCTGTTTTGCCTTTGTCTGAGGAAAGTGACACTGGTCACCAGATGGAAAGTCTGGTGATACAGTGGGGGTTCCATCTTTGTCTGAGTTTTCGGTATTACTTACACACAATGAAGTTTTAGATGAGCAACGTCAGGATTCTTCATTGAAAGACATTTTCGACTGTGTTGTGCCGGTTGCAGAGCTGGAGAATGCTTTGAGTGGATACTTGTTACATAATGGCTTGTTGTTTAGAAAATGGGTTCCTGTGGCTGATGGTGATGGGGTGAATAATGTTTTCCAGCTGGTGGTGCCAACTAAGTTTCGTCCTCTTGTCCTGAAAGTCGCACATGAGTGTGGACACTTTGGTGTTCGGAAAACATATTTAAACATCCTGAAACACTATTTTTGGCCAC